GCAGCTTAGCTGTTTTCAAATAGTGCAGCTTTTCTACTAACAAGCTATTTTTCTCAACAAGCAGCGGTGGAAAGCACGCAGTTAAATTATATTCTCCCACCACACACACAAAATAAGTCGTAACCACCATCAACACTGGAAAAGCAATTACAAACCCAAAACACTATTATTTTAACCCTGACGCAGTACATTTGGAAAGGGGAGGCCGGGGCTAGTTGTCACACGGAGAAAGTCAACTGTCTAATTATACGAATGTGTGTTTTCTCTAGCAGTGCTTTTGTGTGTTGCTTTAAAACACCAAGATCAAACAATCTTACGGATCTTATTAATATTCAATCTTACTCAGTCTTATTAATATAAATTAGAATTAAATTATACATTTTTTTATTTTATTTTGCCCTCCAAACTAAGGCTGTCACAAGTGTTTTATACATAGTAATTTCAGACAATTTATGACTTGCAATTTATGTTAGCCAAAGCAATGGTCCTATATTATATTATATTATATTATATTAAGTAGTACAGTCGATTAATTAATTAAATTATATACTGATTGATTAATTAAAATGATCTTGACAGATACTGTTAATTGCTGAGAAAAATTATTTATTTGGAACTGTTAGTACTGAAATATATACATGTCAGAGAGAATGGATTATTCATTTAATCTTCTATTTTTGCATGAATGATTCTATTTTTTATTATTTTTGTTCTGAAATAATTTTAACATGTTTAATAGCAGGTTTCCATTGTAAAAAAAATATATAAGTTTCCATAGTGTGACAACATGCCTCGCTATGGCATGTCATAAATAAAGCATATGTTCAATGAACTGTATCTTTTTGGCCTATAGGCAATAACAGTGGAAATGTTCAATAGTTTTTTTGCAGCCCAGACTTTAATAAGAAAACTGAAATTGACTTTCAAATATACATTTACCCTGAGAAATATTCACCGGAGTACAAAAAAATAAAAATAAAAAAAATAAAAAACAAAGTGACAACTAGCCCCGGTCTCTTCTACTAAGAAAATGCATAGAGCATTTTAGATAAAACAAGACAGTGAAACATGACACACACACACTATCTTTCAAATGTTTGGTGTCAGTTAGATTTTTTAAAGGAAATTAATACTTTTATTTAGTAAGGACACATTAAATTGATCAAAAGTGATGGTAAAGACACTTGTAACGTTAAATATTTAGATTTCTAATAAATTCTGCTCTTTTGAACTTTCATTTCATCAAAGAATCCTGAAAATAAAAAGTTTTTCTTGAGGAAAGGATCATGTGACACTGAAGACTGGAGTAATGATGCTGAAAATTCAGCTTTGCATCACAGGAATAAATTACATTTTCAAATATATTCACATAGAAAACAGCTATTTTAAATTATAATAATATTTCACAATATTACTGATTTCCCTGTATTTTTGACCAAATAAATGCAGCCTTGATGAGCAGAAGAGACTTTCATTTAAATAAAAAAAATCTTTGAACTGACTAAGTGACTAAGTATCTGTAATTTGTACTGTTAATTACAGGAAGAAAAAAATGGCAGCGCTCCTGAGAATGAGCCATATACTTATGAAAAGTGCAACGTTGACTGTATAAATTACTTAAACTACTTTAAATTATGAGTATCTGGGAGCTTAGAAAACCCACAGTTACAGAGCAGCTTCAACAACATTAGTATGAAATACAGTTTGAGTCTCAATAGTGTGTGTGTGTGTGTGTGTGTGTGTGTTTATGTGTGTCTCTAGAGTGCTTCAAGTGCATCTGCATGTGTGTTTCCTACCGTGTCCTGATGGTTTCTGCAGATTTTACGGATGTTATGAATAGCACACCATTCATCGTACAAATACAGCTCCCTCAGTACATAAACTCCTGCCACTGTATTACGCTTTACATGTGTATGTGTGTGTCAGAGGGCAAAAATATAATTGTGACTGTATAAAGTAGAGGTCTTTGGTCTCTAACTATGGCCCGCCGGTGTATCCAGGTTAACCTGTATGTATATTATATCCTATCGCCATAGAAACAGTGTGATTTTAATGAGGGCTCTGTGATTGGCCGGGTCTCGTCTTTCTGCACTGTTATTTTAGACCGTTCTGGCTCCCTAATGGCTGCGGCTCACGCTGTGGGTGTTCAGAAAATAAGCCCAGTGAACACAGAGGTCATTCGCTCGAATAGTTCAGAAAAAGCAAATGATATTTACATGAAAATGTATATCCTGACCGGGTCACGGTGTTCCCAGCACCCTCCGGGAACACGCAGGGACGGCACGAAAGTTTTTCAGTCTAGACGGAGTCAGCGAGCGGAACAGAGAGATATTGCAGCACTCGGTGGAATTCACATGGCTCTTCTTCACATCTCAACTTACTCGGCCCGACGTGTGTGTGTGTGTGTGTGTGTGTGTGTGTGTGCGTGTAGTGTCCTCTGGGTCGTTTACGGGTCTTCTGGGAACCCTTGACCTCTGGGTCAAAATCAGGAGCAGAAACGTCTCGGTTACGTATGGTAACCCTCGTCCCCTGAAGGAGGGACCGGAGACGTCACGTCGGATGACCGACGAATTGGGATCTCGCTTAGAGAGACCAATCTACTTCGAGTGTAAACTAAATGAGCCAATGCACATTGGCATGCGATTATTGCATCCAGCTGCTGCTGATCACAGCGTGAGTATAAGTAGGCAGCTGATGCAGCGCATATTCAGGTTTTCGCTGAGGAGCCGAGCCGGTGACCCGGCCGCTCAGCGGTGGTACAGGAGCTGTGGCGACGGGACGTGACGTCTCCGTTCCCTCGTTCAGGGAACGAGGGCTACCATACGTAACCGAGACATTCCCTTTCAGTCGGTCACATCCGACGTGACGTCGAGAGTGACCGACTGAAAGGGAACTACTCTGACAGCTCTGAACACACACACTGTACGATGACAGACAAACTCAACATGCGCATAAGAGCATACACTACATACATACAACTACAGCATACAGCAGCAGTCTAACTTTGGACACACCGACCACATTGTAGAATAATAGGAAAATCATCAAAACTCTGAAATAACACAGATAGGAATGATGACAAACACACACACACACACACACACACACACACACACACAAACACTTCATGAGGTGCATCCTGAGATGCTTTTTATTGAAGGAGGAACATGTATACTGGACACTTGATGACTGATTTTCCTGTACTATCTTGTTCAACTCATCCTTTTCTGTTTGGTTTTTAATTATTAAAATTCTGATATAATATATATATACACACACACACACACACACACATACAGAGACACAGACACACACACACACACAATTTAAAATCATAAATTATAAAATACTAATTTTATTCATTTAATTATTGATTTTCCTGTACTATCAGGTTCAACTCATCTTCCATTTTTAAAATTATTAAAATTATATCAAAAATAAAACAACTAACAATTACTAAATTAATCATAAAAGTTATAATTGTATTAATTTAATGACTAATTTTTCCTGTACTCTCCAGTTCAACTCGTTCTTTTGCATTTTTTTCATTATTAAAATGATAAAAAAGTTTAAATAATAAAAAATAATACAATTAATTATAAAAATAATTATTATATGAACTTGACACCTTATTTTCCCGGTTCAAATCTTCTTATTTTGTTTTTTAATCATTAGAGTAATAAAAAAGTGCATTATTAAAATAATAAAAAATGACAAAATTAATACATTTATTGTTTTTTAATACATTTAATTGTTTTTTTAATCATTAAAACTATAAAATATTTTTTAGAATAGTTACAAATTATAACATTTAATAAAACATATAGAATTATATATTTATAGGCAGTTTAAATAATATTTGTCTACACAATAATTAATAATTAATAATTTTAAAAAGTGAAGTATAGGCCTTTATATTCAAAGGCTTTTTTTAAGATCATGCAAAACATGTGTCCAAACTGTTAGACAGTAAATCAGTCCGTCAAGTAAGTGTGTTATTCTGTCCTCCAATTATACTTTCACACTTCTTCTCTATTTTTACACAGTTCATGAGACCTTAGAGTTCAGTGGAACTAACACTCCAGAAAGATATGAACAAGGTCTGCCTGTGTGTGTCTGTCTACACACATACAGTGGCACAAAAATGTATTCGGACATTACTGCATTAAAAAAAATAAAAAAAAATTAAAACAAATGTGGAATCTGCATTCAAATGATGTGCAAGCTTTTCTCAGAACAAACTTCACATTTCCGAGCCACTTTTTCAATGATATTTAACCAGCTGCTCTCAAGGTCATTTTTCATGGATGTATGAAGTCAGTTCTGCTCAAGTTCACACAGGTGTCCTCGCAGAATAACCAATGGCCTAGTTAATCATATTAACAGATGAACATGGTCCACAAAGCCTGACAACAACAAAAAGTGTCCCAGACTTTTCATTTTAATTTTGAATAATACATTTATAGTTTCCTATTTTGAAAGTAGAGTGATTGTTTTGAACTTAGATACTATTCAAAACATGTTACTTTAGCTAAAGTATCTGTATAAATACTTTGTACCTTTTACCGTGAGTGTGGGGTAAAAAGGCTCATCTTGCCCATTACACATTTATAACATTTTTAAACAAAACAAAACAAAACACTTTTATGATTTATTTTCACACAAAATCTGTTGCTCCATCAATGTTCAATAAAAACATATATTTTCTGCAATTATACACTATGGGGGTAGAGAAAAGCACATTTTTCTTAAAGTATATGCCTTCAGCCCTGTTTTACCCTACTAATATGAATAAGAGCTGTCAATTTAACATGTTAATTAGTACATTTAATTATAAAAAAATAGTTTGACAGCTGGCAACACAGGAGAGAGCTTGACATTCATCCCTATAGGCAAAGCTGATCAGTACGGTATTGACGTGTGTGTGTGTGTGTCTGTGTGTGTGTGTGTGTGTGTGTGTGTGTGTGTGTGTGTGTGTGTGTGTGTGTGTGAGTTTGTACCTCAGCAGGCGGTATGCCCTCAGGTGGGCGGCACTGCAGCAGCACTTCCTGTTCAAGTGACACCTCCTTCCCCAAGGGTTCCTGCTCAAACGTCTTCCTCAAGACTGTGGAGAATGGAGACAGAGGGGCGACTCATTTACGTATACTTCATTAGTCACCTAGCAACAGTGCTGAATATTTCTTACATTTCACATTGTCATTTTATTTTGAAAATCTGTTTATTTCCAGGTTTAAATGGAAAAATATCAGATGTTCTCTCAGACTTATATAATAAGTAGTGCAGAATTCATTATCGCCCTGCAGTTCATCTCATTGTGATGTTTTCTGTGTAGCTGACAGTGTGTGATTGGCTTCTTCACACAGGTGAAGAGTACAGCTCACAGGATGTGTGAATGACGCTCATATCTGCCATATTCTCAGGTCAAAGCAAACATTTGTGCTACTCGTTCACATTATTATCTCATAATGTTCACATGCAGGTGTAAATATCTGCTTTTCTCTGTTGGTTTCTGTGTGTGTGTGTGTGTGTGTGTGTGTGTGTGTGTGAGTGGGTGTCTAACACTTGAGGTCTAACGGACAGAAGGCCAAACTCATCTTGTCTTCAACACATCCTTCTCTCACCCCTCATGTGTGAACCTGTGAATTGTAAATGCAGAGATGTGTGTGAATAGTTGTGGAGGGAGTGAATATGTGAATACCAAACCTCTTTCTCTCTGTTGCTTTGTGAGGTTTGTGATGAAGTTAAGACTTCATATCTGTTCACTAGTGCCGGGTGACACATACACTGATCATTTTATGACGTATGTCTTATTATAATATTTCGTATTTGTAACAAAGTTAAAAGCTCAGGGAAGGAGGAGGCGGGAAAAGGCGAACATTTAAACAAAACTTTAATTATCAAATAAACGAACACAAAACTGTGATGAGTCTCCTGCTCTTCCTGCTACGGCCGGCCAGTGGGTGTGTCTAGGAGACTCATCAAGAGAACGATGTCCACCTGTTCTTCCTGCTATGAGTCGTGGCTTTGTTGGTGTGGGGATGGCCTGGTTTGCTCCCGAAATAATATTAATTTTATTAATTAGTATATTCATTAAAATCCATTGAAAAAAGGTAGCCTAAGCCTACAATGACAAGAAGCAACGGTTAAATATGAGTTAAGTTGAATCAAATTGACTGTGAAAGTTGTTTAAACTGATTAAACTTATTAAATTGACTTAAAAAATCATTTGTTGCCATGATTTTTGGATTATATTATAACCTGTAACATGTCTCTGCCGTTCCCAAATTAAGAATTAACAATATCTACAGACAGCAGAGAAAGAGAGAGAGCGTCTACCTCAGCAGCAACTAATCTCGCATTCTCACATCTGTAGCGCTTATTCTGATCTTTAACGTTAGGTCTTATTGACTCAGAAAACATTAGTTTATTAACAAATAACTCAAATATCCCCTCACTATTTTTCACTTTTTTGTTTGTTTTTTATTTATTTTATTTTTTTTTTCTTTGTTTGTTTTTTGGGCTGATGCACCAAAATTGTGTTTGCATTCAGTAGCCTATATGGCAGCATTTTTGTTGTGCAAATTTTTTGCATATGGGCCCGGGGCTGACTTGCTACGCCGCTGAATAAGACTGATGTACCCGCGTTGTAACACAAATAAATGTAAGGTTTTTGGATTTTCCCCTTAAAGATGGATATAGCCGATGTAACCCAAATAAATTATATTATTTAAATTATTTTAAATTATTATTTAAATAAATTATTTAAAACGAATGCTTAATTTGTGGTTCATTGTTATTTTTTTTAATGAAAACCCAGCAACAACAACACTCACTTATAGTCTATTAAACGAATAAATGAAAGTTTTATTAACAAAAGTTGCGCTTTGGATCCGCCATCATTGTGTCAGTCTTCTCGCATCACTCTTGTCACGTGACACCCCACCCCGCGCTTTGTTTGTCTTCCTGCTATAAGAGTCGTGGCTTTGTTGGTGTGGGGATGGCCTGGTTTGCTCCCGATTGCTTTGTGTTTGTTTTTGGTTTTGGAATGTTTATTTGGATTTTGTTATGACAGGGTTTCTGCAGACATGAACAAGTTAAATTTAAGACGTTTTAATACCACCTTATATGAAATTTAAGACCTAAACCTGTAATGGAAATACACATTTTATTACATACATATATGTAATATTTAATGTGTATAAATTAAAAAGAAAACAAAATATCATTGCTGTAATAAATGATGATATACAGTGAACTTTTCATATCAACAGACAATATTCTATACAAAATATCCCTGCAAAATAACTGCATCGCTGAGATTTTTGGTGGAGTAAACAATTTATTCTGTTCTATCAGCTTTTACATACTTAAATCTGCATATTTACCTTTACAAAGGCCTATTTCCTATTTTTATTAGATGCATCATCTTTCATGTCAAATTATTATAATTTATCAATAAATTCAATATACACTATACACTATCTACCAGTCAGATTAAATAATTTACACTGCAAATAACAATAATTACAACTGCAATAAATAATGTTATGAGATTAATGTTTTAAATGCATTTATGAATCATTTATGAGTATACAAATAAGAAATGTTGAGGGGAAAAATGCATACTTTTCAAAGTACTTCTCAACTGAACGACCAGTAAGTGACGGTAAGACACTAAGTCACTGAGTCAGTCATTCAACTGATTGGATTGAGTGTCTGGTTTCTTAAGGACGTTCATGGACAGCTGACTCCTAAAGCTTTTGATATTCTTCATATTCTTCATATT